TTTTCCACACGAACACCAGAATTTAAATTGGAATTTTATGACAGCAAAGATTGCTTGGCTCATGATTAATCCTTTTTGATTCATGCTGTTGCATAAATCACATTCTAAGTGAGAATAAAAATATTGTTGATCAATATGTAATGCTCATTGGACACCGACTAAGAATATGCATTAGCAACATAGACAGTTTAATGACAGTAATTGCAGTATTTGATTCTATTTATATATACTTGGATGAGTATACCTTTTCTGAACAAATGCAAAATATTTTATTTTTCTTAATGTTCGCTAATACAATGCATGGAAAATGGCTAAATTGAAATGTGTTATGCATATATTTAGAAACAAAAAACATAAAGTATGTTATTAATATCTGTAAAATAAGTAAATTAGCCAATTTTGTTTAAATGCCCTGCTCTGTATTGGGGAGTGTTGCTCAACTTATCTCTACAAAATCCCCCACAGGTGCTCAAGAGTGTTAAGGTTGGGTGAAATACTTGTAGACTGAAGTTTTTCCACCCTGGGAGAATGTATAAAGTTAGGGTTAGGGCTGAAAAAAAGCCCAACAATGCAGGGAATGAGGAGAGGGTGGCATATTCTTTTTCAAGTTTTTGTGTTCCATCACATAGTGGTGTATGAATTCATGACAGCATTGATAAAGCACAACTCCCCCACAATTTCAGCAGTCATACATCCCTAGAAGAGCTTTTCTACCACTAAACTTCACTGTGGGAACCAGACACTTCTCACTGTACTCCTCCTCTAGCAGTGCCATAGCATTTTGGATGCTGTTAGATCGTAAATGACTTGGTCTGATGAGACTAGATGTATGGATTCCCAGTAGTCTATATTTTGTAAATACTAAATGCACCTCGGGAAAGGCTAAATGAGTTTATTGTGCTTTTTGCTACAGTGGGTAGTTCCAGTGTAGACAACAACTAAGCATTTCACTTCTGCACGTTGTATCTTACTGCGTGAGGTGAAACAGTCACTCTTTTCATAGCTTTTGCTAGCTCTGAGACATTTGCTTTGTATTTCTCCTGCTCTTTTCTTATTGCAAAAAAAAATAAATGAAAGTAAATGCTTAAAGTGAAGGCCTGATTATTTCAAGAACCATGGCACAAGTCCATTGTTTTTATTTCTGTGTTACTATTGCTATTACTATTATATGGTATTCCTCTTGTACCATTGTGCAAAAAATTAAGTCTCCTAAAAACATTGCTTTAGAAGCAAAATTGCATACATTTGGTTTAATCATTTAAAATTATTTAAGTACTATGAATAATACACTTTTATAGAAAAAGCCTTAGTATCTTATTATACAAGTTTACAAATTTGTTTTCTTTTTAATGGGTAGCACAGTTGCCTCATAACAACACAGTCCCAGTTAAGTCATGAGGCCTTTCTGTATGGAGTCCTGTGTGCTTGTTCTCCTTGTATTGGTGTGGGTTTCCTGCAGGTATTCCTGTTTTCCCCACAATCCAAAAACGTGCAGGTTAGGTAAATTGGGGACTCAAAAATTGCCCATACAAATGTGGCCTTTAAGACTGCATGTTTTTCCGCGTAGTAGCACCCAATTCGTCACGCATGAGCACTGCTCCCTGCAGGCACGCTTCTTAGCATTTAAATAAATGTGTTAAATTTGTCAGTAGCTAGGCCAGATTAGACTGCTCTTGGCCACTTCAGCTTGGAAATGGTTTGTCTTGAATCGTTATTTAAAAATGCCTAGGTTTATGGATTATTACATTGTATATTAAACAGAATAACTACGATTCTCTGATAGTCTGATAATTTGTTAACTGCACGTTTATTCAGAGAAAACAAAACATCCACAATAAAATATGAAAAGCAATAATAGATGCAAACATTTAGTTGTGTCTAAAAATCCATTTACACATGACAAAATGAGTGTAATACAGCATATTATAATTTTAAATGCTTTGTAAACGTGTACTTTATTGCTCTCTGCAGGAGTTCACAAGATAACGTGTATATAAGTATTACTTCCTTTAGTGCGCTGTTGTGAAGGTGATTTTGTTTTCCACAGACACAATGAGGAGAAATGCAAAATAAAGTAATAATAATAAAGACAAGTTCACATATGTGAGATATAAAGTTGTAACTGCAGAATTGCCAGCATACATATTCAAGCCAGTAACAGGAGTGTTTTTACTGTTTAATGTGCTTAAACGATGCTCTTCTCCGAGCATAACTTACATTTCATTGTTTTACATTTCACATTTTATACACTCTGTAAATGTTAGAAATAAAGATGGCATGCGTGCATGTTAAACAAACAAGAAAAAAATGCAATAATTAAGACTAAAAGATGCATTTTGATCAAATATTTGTTATTGACATGCAATTTACCCAAGGAATGTTATTTATAAGTGATAACTAGAAAAGCTAGAAAATTACAAAACACTGACAAATAAAAGTGACAATAAATACAGCAACAGTATAAACAGAAGCAGCAAACAGTAACAAAAAAAGGATTGTAATCGGCATCATTAATTCATGCTGCATAGCACTGAGTACCATATTATCAACAGAAACAGCGCTTCTGTTTCCAAAGGCTTGTCACAATTTCTCAAGAATAATCTGGGCAAAGAATAAATAAAATCAAAATTGTCAACAAAAAGATGCAAAAAATCAAAGCAAAAATGTGGGCAATTATTCTGGACATTAACCAGACAAAATATCTGCTCTCTAATAGGTATTTTATGTAGTTATTACTTATATTTTATTTTATATGAGAAAATATTTGTACATGCTAATTACATTTTTTTCAGACTTTATTTGACAGATTTTTGCAGCTTTTTGTGTGTGTGTGTGTGTGTGTGTACCTGTTTTTCTATTCTGGTGGGGACTTAAACCTGACTACACACAGACTCGTGGGGACTCGTGTCACGGTGGGGACCTAAATTGAGTTCCCCACGGGTAAACAAGCTAATAAATCACACAGAATGAAGTTTTTTGAAAATATAAAAATGCAGAAAGTTTCCTGTGAGGGGTAGGTTTAGGTGTAGGGTTGGTGTAGGGCAATAGAAAATACGGTCTGTACAGTATAAAAACCATTACGCCTATGGAGAGTCCCCACAAGGATAGCTGACCAGACGTGTGTGTGTGTGTGTGTGTGTGTGTTTTCAGTGCAGTTGTAATGTTTGTAACAGTTGTAATATTATGTCAATATTGATAGGCTCCTATTTCATGATCTTTCCTAGGGCCCCATAAACCCTTAAGCTGGCCCTGTGCCTAGTCTTTTGACTTCACATCAAAACACCCTCGATCAAATTAAGCTATTTAAGGAGAATAATTGGATTTTTCATTTTAGACTAATGACTCTTACATTTTATTGTCTTTCACGACCACTGTCTTACAAGGTCATTGTTTTGGTAGAAAATTTTCTGTTCGTGGTTTTTAGCACTTTACAACACATTTTAGATTGTGTTTTAGATACAAAGAATATAATAAATGCAACGTGTTTTCATATAATAAAACTAATGACTACCGAAATGCGCCTTGAATAATCAGCGATCAAATGCAAATGTCAAACATGTAAAAATACTTTTATTAACAGAGCCATGAATATTTTATCGCATTGCGGTGGTACACACACACACATACACACATAATACTTGAATATGGCTTGACTGTGTTTAATGTGCTCTGCTGCTTGTTGCAATTCTTTTCTGAGAGGTTCACAGAGCCGCCTCTTACAAGCAACTCATCAGTTTCAGTACTTGACACGACTAAGAATGAAACATGACTGCCCCCTACTGGCCATATCTTTCCTTCCCATTTTAACTCTTCTTTATTTTGACTTTGGATTTGTTTAAAGTTTTGTGAGAGTATTCTATCATTAGATCAGTATTGTGTATCGAACCAAATTGTGAGTGGCATAAGTGGATGTCATGACGCTGCCTTTGGCACGAGATGCCGGGATAAGTTCCAGCAATCCCACAAACAGTAAAGAGAATGGATGGATATGCAGATATTTGTTTTATTCTAGTACCATACAAGAGCAATGTAATTTATTTAATCTTTAATTCATTGGCACAGGCAGTACTCAAACGTCTTACAGTAGTATCACATGTCTGGATTGCAGTATGCATATGGAAATTATGTAAGAGGTTATGTATAGTAAAACTGTGCTTTGTAAGCTCTATAGATGGTTATTTCAGACAAAAAGCTTTTTTTTGTTCTTTTTAAATTTTTAATGCTCAAAAAGTAAAACCGCTTAGTGCTAACATTTTCAGTTTTTTGCTTCTGATGCTGCTTTAGCTACACTCATATTGCAGCTGAATGTGTTGAAATGATGACTGGGCCTAAATTTCAGAGCAGTATTGTGGTTATTGTGGTTTACGCTTTCCTGCAAGCTCTGTGCTTATAATGGAGGAAATTCTCACAAACATGCATTCACTGTAGCAGTCTGGGTTAAATAAGTAAATTAATCCATACAGATCAACAGACCAAGTCAACAATATGAAATCTCTCAAACTGTAATCTCACAGACAGACAGCACATGTATACTGGGATACTTGGATTAGAAGACAGATAATTAAAACAGCCTCTATCACTTACCAGTTACACTCGGTACAGGGATGATCTACCGGTGTGAAATTTTATATTGGCTATAAAAAAGAAACATTATGAACAGTTACTATATCAAAATTCTAGTGAATAGAACAGCCTTGAATTACAATTACAGTTGCTTATAAGAGCTGAAAGCCAGAGTTCATTAAAAGATGTTACCTTTTATTTGATAGGTATTCACCCAGTTGAACAACATACATTGTAAATGTATAAAATATTAATGCAACAACAACCAAAAATGCAGCAGGATGGTCTCAAAATGTGCACTGCTATTCAGGCACACAAGACACGCATCTATAATAAAAAATAATAATAAATGATGGTTCACCTATTTAAAATAATAAAATTATTTTTGTCCTGATTTTTATTTATGTCCATATATTTTTCATATTCATATGTTACAGATGGGCATTTGTGATGAAGAAACATCTCAACACTCATCTGCTGGGAAAGCATGGACTGGGCCAGCCCAAAGAGAGGTTTTGAACTGCACTGAACACATACACTTCTGTATCATATTACTTTGTAATGCATTCACAAATGTTAACAAATGCAATCTTATGTGTAAACTGTTACAAACTAACAGTGAACAATATCTTTAGACAGCAATAGTATAAAAAAGTATAATAATGCTTATATGTATAGGGGTACCTCTAAATATGCTTTAAATGTGATATACACTCGGTACAGGGATGATCTACCGGTGTGAAATTTTATATTGGGTATAAAAAAGAAACATTATGAACAGTTACTATATCAAAAATCTAGTGAATAGAACAGCCTTGAATAATGTACAGTTGCTTATAAGAGCTGAAAACCAGAGTTCATTAAAAGATGTTACATTTTATTTGATAGGTATTCACCCAGTTGCACAACATACATTGTAAATGTATAAAATATTAATACAACAACAACCAAAAATGCAGCAGGATGGTCTCAAAATTTGCACTGCTATTCAGGCACACAAGACACGCATCTATAATAAAAAATCATAATTAAATTATTTTTGTCCTGATTTTTATTTATGTCCATATATTTTTCATATTCATGTGTTACAGATGGGCATTTGTGATGAAGAAACATCTCAACACTCATCTGCTGGGAAAGCATGGACTGGGCCAGCCCAAAGAGAGGTTTTGAACTGCACTGAACACATACACTTCTGTATCATATTACTTTGTAACAGTTTACACATAAGATTGCATTTGGTAACATTTGTGAATGCGTTACAAACAAACAGTGAACAATATCTTTAGACAGCAATAGTATAAAAAACTATAGTAATGATTATATGTATAGGGGTACCTCTAAATATGCTTTAAATGTGATAAAGGAGGATCTACAGGTTCAGTGTAAATAACTTTTTATGTGGGCTACTGTTAAAGTGGTCACAATATTCACATAAAGCCTTCTAATCCATGTGTTAGAAAACTAGGCCACCCCTCCTAATGTTTCCATAGAAACATGGCCACCAGTAGTCAGTCAGAATTCAGTGGCTACTAACGTCAAATCCGAATGGCATACTGTTACGAAAATGTATATATTCATACATCATGTGAAAACGTGTATGTGTACCAATGTTTGTTAAAATTGGCCACAGGGCGCTTCTTTGGAATTCTTGCTTTAAGCCCTAAAAAATGTAAATCTAAATATTATCCTTGTCGATAAAATTATCCACAATTTTAAACACTAGTGTAATTTTAGTCATTTTTCTGCAATTTTGAGAGTGTTTTTTTTTTTTTGTTAATTTAATCGTTTAGCAGATATAGGCCAGATAATAGATCTAGTTTTTTGGGTGTGGCCTATAATGACTAATTGGCCTATATCTTGTGATTGCACCATCCAAATATCACTAAACTTGGTACACATGAACACTAGGACATTCTGATGAATCAATCATAGTGCAAATGTTGTCAAAGAATTTGGAATGTGACATACACTCAGATCACCACAACATCCATTTTTCAGTGTAAATATTGCGTCAATATCAAATCAATTTGAGTGTGATTTAAACCCGGATGATTGTAACCACTCTAAGTTCGTCTGCCTTGGGAAAGCTAGCGTGTCTCCGACATAGTGATAACGCTCGTTGCCTTCTCTAGTGCAGCTCAACCAGGTCTCAACCCATTCGTCGATATTTGTGATATCACAAATCCCGGAAAATATGTGTTGTAGTCCAAACGAGTCGTTCGTTGTAGTTTTTGAAAAGTTATCTTTTGTAATAAAATATCTTCTTTTTGAAGTGAACTTTGAGCTTTGTAACTTTGCAGATCTTTTTTTATGCTCAAACAGCAACATTACAGACTAACTAAAGTTGAAAAAGTGAAAAAGCATAATAGGACCCCTTTAAACCATTGTGTTGATGTCATCATCTACAAAAATAACCTATGTTATATCTCTGAAAACACACATGTGCAATTCATACAATTATTCAATAATATCCACATTAACACAGTTTTTTTATTTTATTTAATAACATATATCAAACATGATTTAACCCTAATTGTAATATAAATTCTAAAGAGTCACATATTTGTACAATATAACAAACAGAACACCAGCATAAATTACCACAAATAAATCACATAATCATTAGGGGTGTAACGATACATGTATTCGTATTGAACCGTTCGGTACGAGACTTTTGGTTCGCTACGCATTACAAACCGAATGATTCGTTGGACTAATCCTATTACATTTGGAAAATAAAAGAGCTTAAAGTGTGTGAAATATAATGTTCTCAGTGCCACTGCGCTCAACAAGGCAGCCCAAACGACGTAACAGGCAACTTGCTGTCTGCCTCTCACCCCCAAAGAAAAACACAATACTCCAATCAGGCATACGCTGGACTCGTTGCAATATGGCTAGTAGCGTTAATGCGATTACCAGACCAAAAATGGAAGATCCTCCAATAACCAACAGGTCTGGCGTTTGGGACCACTTTGGTTTCCCTGTAAGTTATGAGGGTGATGGCAAGAGAGTGGTGAATAAAAAACAACAACGGTATGTTGTATCTGCTACATGACAATAGGCTACATCAGCTTGAATACTTCAAAGTTACGATGTTAGTTTTAATAAATAAAAAAAATAAAAAATCAAGGAAATTTCTCTGGCATTTCTTTCTTTTTGCTGTATCGAAAACGTACCGAACCGTAACACAACTGTGTCGTATCAAATCGAACTGTGAATTTTGTGAACCGTTACACCCCTAATAATCATAATGGAAGGTAAAATGATTAAAATCATCAGAAAATATATCGTCATACACAATCAGCGATCTTCACATTATAAATACTCAATATATACTCCACAGATATGAATCCAACCAATTATGTCTCTTCAAAGAAAAACAGAAAAATCTAGTTCCTCATTCATGCCATTCGGTGCTAATGATTTAAGTTTATAAATCCAAAATGCTTCTCGTTTTAATAATTCTTTATTTATATTACCTCCTCTACGTGATCATAAAACTTCCTCTATGCCCATACATTCTAATTGTTTAATATCATGTCCCAGTCCATTAAAATGTCTAGCTACTGGATAAGTTATATCTTGGCATCTAATGCTAGATTTATGTTCACTAATTCGTAATTTCAATTGACACAATGATTTTCCAATATAAATCTTTTGACAGGGACATTTTAATATATAGACCACATTGCGAGTAGACCAGGTAATACAATATGTAATTTTGAAACATTTCTTTGTTACTGGACATATAAGTTCTTTACACTTTATCAAATTTTGGCACGTGGCACAGTTTCTGCACGGAAAACAACCTTGTATGAAAGTAGATTTTTTTTCTTCCTTACAACATCTGAATTTATTAACATGTCTGATGTGATCTTTTAAAAGTGAAGTCTTGAAACTTAATGTTCAAAGAGTCATCAGACAATAAAATATGCCAATGTTTATAAATAATTGATTTGATTTGATTACTGTGCTCATTATGTCAAAGAACAATTCACTGAAAATTTTCTTTGTTTACTTGTAGATTTTTCTGTTCTCAAGAGATAATTTCTGTTCAATTTATTAACTTAATTTATTCACTTTTATTAACTATATTAACGTTGAAAAAGTAATTTTGTTTGTTGATCAAATTCATATGTAGTACTGCAATTACGTTTTAATTACACAGTTGACTGAACGGTACACTTCACTTTAAAGGAATTGGATGATAACTATCTAGTGCTAGCAATGTGTTTTTATCCGTAGGTTTTCGAAATACTGTTGTTTGTAATGATTTTTCAATCTTAATCTTTAATCATTGTACCTTCCATTATGATTATGTGATTTATTTGTGGTAATTTATGCTGGTGTGTTGTTTGTTATAGTGTACAAATATGTGACTCTTTAGAATTTCTATTACAATTAGGGTTAAATCATGCTTGATATATGTTATTAAATAAAATAAAACATTTTTGTAAAAATTTGTGTTTTTAGAGATATAACAGGTTTTAGAGAGAGATATAACATAGCAATGAAACTATGTAACACACTGAAGAAGGCATAGAGCCGAAACGTTTGTGTTATCCATGTGGTGATGAAGATCAAATAAAATGTACTAACTAACAGATTGAAAAAAGTTTTAGTCCGGATCTTTGGTTCAAATGTTAAGTAAAAGATGACATTAAAAAAGCATTAAGAACAACAGCACATAACCGTGAAATTACTTTGCATAGACAACATTTAACAATATATAAACGAATAAAGTAAAAGACAAGACATATCAGCTTTTACATTTCTATGATTAAGAATTGTGACTGAATGTAGCAGTGCAGTGGTTCATTGGTTAATGTGTTCTCTTTTACTAGAAAGTTCGAGTGTGAGCTTTGTGAGCGGAGCTTCAGTGAGAAATGGGCACTGAATAACCACATGAAGCTGCACACAGGAGACAAGCCGTACAAGTGTGGATGGCCATCATGTCATTATGCCTTCCTGACTCTGTCTGCTATGAAGGACCATCACAGGACACACACAGGTACAAACACATCACAAAATACGCTGATTTCATGTATAATTTAATTAGCTCTGTGTTAACGAGTGTGTGTGTTTGTGTGTTTGTGTGTTTGTGTGTGTGTGTGTGTG